GAGTTTTTAAGCCTTCCAGCCATTCTAATACACACAAAAATAAAATCATCAAAATTGGTTGAACCATTTTCGAGTTTTTTCGAGACTAACGGACAGCAATTGATTTTTATATACAGACTATTTTTAAACAGTGGTAGAGCCACGCGGCAGCGTTTGCTGTCGCACGGATGGGCCGGCTCGAACCGAGGTGGTACCACGACCTCACAGAAAACCAGCGCGAAGTAGAGGTTTACCTCTGCGTTTCGCTTGGTGAGTGCAGGTGGCCGGAGGCCCTTTTTACTGTAAATGAGGCATTCCATCTTAGTGCTCACGGGTGACAACACATCTACATTTTGATTTGTAATAGAGGATAGATGTAGATGTCTATGGGCCGCAGCAACCACTTATCATCAGGTGGATTGTGTGCTCGTTTGTCACCCTCATCCTATATAAAAAAAAAGACTAGCTGTTCCACGCGACTTCGCCCGCGTGTAATTTAGGATTTTAATTTTTTCTTTTGCGAGGAACCCTAATTATTTTTCTAAAATGAAAGTAGCCTAAGTTACTCCTTATGACATCAGCTATCTGCCAGTGAAAGGCCCGTCAAAATCGGTCCAGCCGTTTTGGAGATTAGCCGGAACAGACAGACAGACAGACAAACAGACGGACAGACAGACAAAAATTTTAAAAAGTGTATTTTGTTATAAGTATGGTTTACACTTTCATATGCATTTAGTAAAACACTGTAATTTTGACATTACAAACAGACACTTCAATTTTATTTATTTGTATAGATATGAAGTAAATATAATATATGATTTTCATTTTACGAGGAGACGATGAAGTAGACTATATAAGACTTATCTCCCAATTGTGTCTCGTTAAAATATTCAAAGTATAATAAAATGTAGGTATCAATTCCGATTACGAGGCCTTGGTAAGTCCTGTAATCGTTATTATTCGTCATTATCTCCACGTGCGGAAAGTGGTTAGTTATATTTTTCTTATATTTTTTCTTGTTTTCTTTTCTGTAAAAAAAAAAGGTTACCCCCACACTAGGATTTTCTCCTGTGTCGTGGAGGCAGTTTACAAACACAAATTGCACAAGGACAAACATCCAGGTAATACAAATACTTGTTCCGTGCGGGATTCGAACCCGCGGCCCCCAGCGCAGCAGCTCATTGCTAAGCCACTGGGCCATGGACTCGTCGCACATGGAATTGGCGCGCCGGTTTCCATCCTTGGATGAGGTAGCCGTTTCTTAAGCTGCTCAAAATCAAACCCTGTTCCCGTTACCCGGGAAAATCACAAAGACTATGTCACAAGTTGATAAGGCAGAGATTTGAAAGGTGCGTCACCAATACAACAGGGGTAAATTAAACAACAGTTCCTAGTGTAACGTTTATTTTACGGTTCACATATTTGACTAGACAAGTAGATGGGAATATGGCGTTATAAAAGTAACGCTATAATATAATGTATACTAACTATATTGCACATAGGCTATTACATTATATTTTTTTGCATTTTACATAATTCTAAAGCGTGTTACAGAGAGCGCATGAAAAAATAAAAACATACATTAAAAAAAGTTTCGAGCTATTTTCAAAAACATTTTTGTGAACTACTTACTCGCTTGACACGTTAGGCGTAAATTGAACTTTAGTAATAATGCAATTAGAAGCAGATAGCGCCACTCTGAAATATCAGCTGTTTTCTCTATGTCTGTAATATATAATGTACTCTGTGATAGTAATTGTCACTTGGACATATTATTATGTAATTATACAATTTATAAAATAAAATATATACTAGAACAATGAACCTAAAACTAAAAACCTTAAAAATATAATATTATAACTAAAATGTATTATTAAAAAGGAGTCACTTTAGGCAAGGTTCCGAAGATGCTGGCAGCGTTCCCCCTTTGAATAGCTAGACTAATTCTTTGTCTGAGGTAGCTGCCAGCTCTTCGGTCTCCTGTGATGTCGACTAAACTTTATGCTATTTCCTTAAAAAGCCTTATTATTATTAGCGCTAGGTGTCGAGACCCTTGGTCCCACGGACCAAGGGTCTCGACACCGAATGGGACAAAATCATATTCGGAGCCTAGACCCCTATATTTAAATGCTTTAGCTTTTTCAGCCGCTTCACAAGCCGCACCAGCTCTGTTGTTGGTTCCATGTAGATCGGAAGGGGCCAGCGTGTCTGAACAGGTTGCATCCCATACCAGCACCCGGCCCATCTTCCATGGAATCAACCTCATACCGTCCGGTCTCTTGCCATCGTAATAATTGTTACAAAAAGTATATTATATTCTGCCCCATAGTATTATCGACTTCTGTGCCCAATTGCAGCACATGCATAGAAATAAACCTCATAATAATACTTTAAGCCTTTCACAAGTCTGATTGTCACTGATGAACACGGTCTCACGGAACAAGGTCAAAACGTGCAAAGCACGGTCCTGAGCCACTTGCATTCATCGACTTCAAGTTACAAGACCAAAACTCCGCTTGGCGGTGGGAAAGTTAGTGCGTAGGACGGCCAAATAAACATATTATTATGTTAAATAAGATCACACATCTGGTTTAACCAAATAAATAATTTTTAGTAACTATATAATATTTCATAGTCTGTACAATATTTCCCTACCGCCTTTATTTTATTAAAACAAAGCTAACAAATTACAGAAGTTAAAAAAATGATTACAATTTTAAAACATTTTTTTTTACTGATATAAAATGAAATGTAGGCATTTTTTTCTTGTTTATCATATAACTTTGAATAACGAGTTAATTCATTTTTAACATTGTAATTTGTATATGTACATAACTCTCTGTAATATGTTACCATGAAGCAAATACAAAGCTTCATGTGTGTTACTCTGTGTAAAGGAAACTTTGAGAATGAGTATTTTTCGCTAAATTAAATATATTTTCTACAAAATATGATAAGATTCCTACATCTATATCAATATTTAACATTTATTTTATTATTACACTAGCATATTTAAAAAATATATGAATATTACACTCTTCGTTTACTTTTAAAGTATGTTTTGCTGTCTTTAAAGCTTAAAAATAGTGCAAAATACTAATATAATAATATTTTTTTGTTTTTTAAATGTTGCTAAAATATACGTATGTTTCATATAAAATGTGGGAAGTGCCTAAGGCTTTCTACCATTTTATTTGTCATACGCGAGATACACGCACACAAATACACATCGAAGTCCGACAAAGAGGGCATCCACGATTTTTACTACCACCACGCCGGCGTCATTGTAAAGTGACATATTTAACAGGTTTCACAGTGGGGACGATAATTTCTTAGGAAAATGTGACTTTAATGTTTCTTTCCGTATTTTTAGTTATATTTTATATTAATTAGATTAGAAATGAGCAATAAAGTAAACTATAAATATAACTAAAAGTAGAAAAATTTAAAAAAAAGAGTTATAAAGTGCAAAAAATTAAAAATCAAACCGCTGCGCTGACGCATTGTGTTGTGTATTAATATAATACTCCAGATAATGATAAACTATATTTAAAACAACTTCTCAATTAACCGACATTGTGTAACAAAAGAACTTTAAACTCAGTCACAACTGGCGACATCTGGTGAGTGCAAGATTTTTAGCCCTCATTGGCGCCAATATGCGGCACTCATATCTAATGACCACAAAGTATTAAAAAAAAATTAAAGTAAAGAGTACTTCTAAGTCGAGTATATAGGTAATTCTATATCAGTGATGGTGACGATCGCTATACGGGACGCATTGTAACCCTAAGAATTAATATGAAATGTCTTGCTACAAGTAAAAAGGTGCCGTGGTAGCTCAAAAGCAAAGCGCTCGTTGTAAATTTCACAGTACGCGACCAACCAGGGGTCTATCCCCGTCGACAACAATGAAGTTGTTAATTGCAATTTTAAGTTCTGATTTACCACGTGCTCGGCGGTGAAGAAAAACGTCTGAGAAATAAGTAAATAAATATTTCGAAGACATGTGAAGTTCACCAACACGCATTGGGGCAGCGCGGATATTTCCTTGCTCTAAAACCTTCTTAGAAATGAGAGGTCTGGGCCCAGCAGTGAGACGTATATAAGCTGTTATTTCGCTTTACTTTCTTAAATATGCCTTCGTAGGCAGTCCCTAAACGGCACTTAGCCGTCTGCGCCCTCTTTTCCCAAAAGAGGGTCGCTTTACGATACGGCATGTGAAGCTTTCAACAGCTAGTTGCCAGTCCCCAAAGGCGGTTTTTAGTGGGTATCACTTAGGTCCCCCCGGTAGGCTGTGAGTCCCACATAACCACGATGGATAGCCATCGTGGTATGCGTAATGCATTTTCTGCCTCCCGTAAAGGGTAGCCCTTTTCCAAATTGCTTCGGGCGCAAAAAAAAAAAAAAATTTACTTTCTGTAAAAAGGCCGCCAGTTTCGTCACTCACCATATCAAACACAGTAGAGTTATGCCGTTATTATAGTTATTGTATTTCTCGATGAAGTTTTGACTTTGATTGTTGTTATCCGTGCACATACACATTGCGTTAGTGTGCGTAGGCCTCGGGAGCGCTACTCTCAAGCGCCCGCAGCCTACGCACACTAACGCAATGTGTATGTGCACGGCTAAAAACAACCAAAGTCAAAACTTCATCGTGATAAAGAATAACTAATTAACGCTAGTATTCAGTAGAGCGTGGTCCTTCCCCGTCGAGCCGACCCATCCGTACTGCAACCATAATACAATTGTAAGAGTGGATTTACCACGTTATATTATTTAATTATTGAGATAACGTTTTTTTTTTTTTAATTTATTTATTACAGGTCTATAACGTATAAATACAGCCCCACACAGTGTCCATTCATCCATCCATTCTTTTATCTATTATAACGCAACCTATAAAAGTCCACTGCTGAACATAGGCCTCCCTCATAGATTGTCTCATAGAGGGGATTTTGCTCTAGTTGTCTTGCTTTGCAGGCGAGTTGGTGACACCAGTTTTTTTTTTTTATTATTTTGCGTTCCTATCAAGAAGACGCTGCTGTCCATCTTCAGCTTTATTTTCCCTCTGTCGCCTATTATGACACACTCGGGACGATATGGGTTAGTGGATATTCTTACACCATTACTACACGGTGTATTTATGTACTTTGATTAATTCAAATTAGTTACTAATGTTGAACGCGTGATATCAGTACTCCATACTTTGACAATAAATAGATTATAACATCACCAATTTCTATAGATTCCTATTTAAATCTATACAAATAACTAAAATTCATTTCGTCGGGACTTTCACTGGCAGATAGATGATGTTATTAAGAGTAACTTAGACTACTTTTATTTTAGCAAAATAATTATTTACCGCGCAAAAAAAATTAAATCCCATGAAATCTAATCGTTATAAATTTCACGCGGGCGAAGTCGCGTGGAACAGCTAGTAATAAATACGACACATATTTCTACTAATTTATAAATATAAATGTCTTTCTACTAAATAGCTTATTTTAATGAAGTATCTTCAGTGCTTTGCTCGCATCGATTCCGGTATATATCTCGGCGAAGTTCTGCCTTTTGAATGGATCCTGGCTAAAAAGCTCGGCGTGCAGTCTAAGGATGAGGTGGTGGGTCTAACTGGGGAAGGATCCGTCCTGCCTTCTAGCCAGTAGGTCATCATTTCTCCTTTGCCCTGTAATATACGAAACTAAAATGTTTCCTTTAGCTGTGATGACGATTAAAAAAGCATTATAAATAGTTGAAGAGATACTAATCAGCGATGTTAATAATATATATGTATAATTTTAAAGAAAATATATTAAATGTAGGCCTAATGAACGTAAAATTGAAAGGTTTTTAAAAAAAGCTTCCATAACATCGTCTAATATTATTGCTTACAGATTTTTTTAAAGTTACTAAACAAGAAAAGAGAGTAGTAGTATAGTTGTAGCACGAATGGGTCGGCTCGACCGGCGAAGGACCACGCTCTCACAGAATACCAGTGTAAAATAGCAACTTACCTTTGCTGTGTTTCGTATGGTGAGTGTAGAGAACGGGAGACCCTTTTTACTGGCAAAGAGGCATTCTATCTTAGTCCTCACGGGTGACAACGCATCTGCATCTTGAGTCTTTATTGAGGATAGATGTAGATGTCTATGGGTCACATTGAGTTGCTATTTTACGCTGATATTCTGTGAGAGCGTGGCCATACAGTCGAACCGACCCCATTCGTTTTGTTTTCGATATCATAAAAAAAACATTTAGTTCATCTACGCTGCTATTCTATGTACTATAGAAGTAAGTGTGAAAAACGGGGGCACAGTTTACCTTACGCAAGTAGGCCATTAGACACCTATATCTATCCTCGATCAAGAATCAAAACACAGATGCGCTGTCGTTAAGAGGACTTAGCTGGAATACCTAATTACGAGTAAAGACAGTCCTGTCTTAGTCACTCATCATAAGAACCATAGCAGCATTGTGCTGCGCTGTTTCACGCCGGTATTCTGAGGGAACGTTCTATCGCTATCAAGACGAGCCATTCCTGCTGCAGCCTAGCTCTACCACTTATATATATTTTGACACATTTATGCCCAAATACTCAAATGATACTCAATTTCAATATGCCGTTAAGTCTCGCGCTGTCTCTATCACATTAAGACAAAGTGACATTAACGCAACGAGACTTAACGACATCACAAAATTGAGTATCGTTTGAATATTTGGCTAATAATATATGGTCTTATACGATCACAATGATCAATCAAAACAGATTATTTTAATATAAAACTGAAGTGACAAACGAATGTACAATCGCCCTGATGGTATGTGACTTCTGCATACCATGGACACTGCAACCAACTTCATTCATAAACGGCTATAGATGCATACGACACGTATGCAATAACACAACACAAGTCATTTGTAATAACGGTTTTAAATAACAAAACGCACCGAAATGAAGAGAAGAAATAATGAGAGAAGAAAGAATCCTGCAAGCAACTCAAACAAAGAAGACTACACATGCGTTGTCAGTTTTAGGGAAAAAGATGCATTTTTTTATAGTATAAGGGTGACAAACGAGCACACAGTCCACCTGATGGTAAGTGGTTGCTGTAACCCATAGACATCTTCATTTATCCTCAATAAAGAATCAAAATGCAGATGCGTCGTCACCCGTGAGGACTAAGATGGAATGCCTCTTTTCCAGTAAAATAGGTCTCCGGTTCTCTACACTAACCATACGAAACACAGCAGTATCAAGCTGCCATTTTACGCTGGTATTCTGTAATAGCGTGGTCCTTTCCCGGTCGAGCCGACACATTTGTGATACAACTATACTACTAATATAGCTGCAGCATGGTTCACCGCCTGTAATTACACTGGCTTTCTTCCTTCCTTTAGACCAGAACATAGCAGTATAAACACTACTATTTGGCAGTACAAATATAGAAGCTTTTACAAAAATTTACTTCGCAAATATCCGCGTTATAAAATAAAATGATGTGTCTTACCTAGTACGAAGAGCACCTCCCGCCCTCCCTCAATTGCGTACACTATCCCCGTCACCACTAATCCCAGCACCGCTACTCCCAACACCACTACACTAGGCAAGACACACCACTGACGTTAATACGACACGTGTTTCACCTCTACACGAGGCATCCTCAGGTGATATAGACTCTACGGTGGCTAACCGCTAAGTGAGCGGCGAGCCAAAACAAGTGCCTTTTATACAGACCGATGATGCAACCGCTCTCTACCTAAGGAGCGAGCGACTGCGTCATGCGATAAAACATGCGACCAATTACCGCTGTACTTACGCAGCCGTTTGTAAAATTAAAAACAAACCGCCGCGCAACGCCCACCCTCCAACCACGCAACCGATCGCCGATCACCGTGAGGGTGACAAACGACCATATTGCGAGGCTCTCTATTATTAGAGAGCAGGCTTGAAGATATTTAAGAGAGGTGAGTTAGTAACATTTGTTTGTTCATTCAGCAATGCAACGGTATTATTATTACTTTTTAATATCTCTAACTGTTCCAGCACACTCAGCCGCAGCCCTTTATTACACGTATGTAAGACTTTAAAGGAGTGGTCGTTGGCTAGGTTGTGTCCAGTGTCCAAAAGATGTTTGGCAAAATGGGATTTATCGGGATTGCAATTCCTGTACGCGGCTAAATGCTCTTTATAACGTGTCTCGAAATTGTGACCAGTCTGACCCACGTAAACGGCGTGGCATTCGTCACAAACAAGTTTGTAAACACCTGACTTTTGACGAATATCCAACTTATCTTTACTATTACAGATATTTCTAAGAGAATTGTTTGTTTTGAACGCCACATGAACGCCGTTTTGTCGAAGAGTTTGTCGAAGAGTGCTGGCATTAGTGGTGACGGGGATAGTGCACGCAATTGAGGGAGGGCGGGAGGTGCTCTTCGTACTAGGTAAGACACATCATTTTATTTTATAACGCGGATATTTGCGAAGTAAATTTTTGTAAAAGCTTTTATATAATGGATTTCCGCAAAGTAACGCCTGATTCTATTAATTATAGTACAAATATGTCAGGTCAGAGTGACACCTACAGACAGGCCTTTATGTAAAAATGGATCCTACCACCTTTCTTTGTGTGATAAACTCAGGAACGAGGATATCCGTAGTAGAACCATAGTGACCGACATAGCTTAACGGATTAGTAAGTTGAAGTGGCAATGGGCCGGCCATATAGCTCGAAGAACCGGCAACCGATGGGGAAAAAAGGTTCTCGAGTGGCAGCCTCGTACCGGTAGGTTAAGTATATGCCGACCTCCCACTAGATGGAGTGACGACCTGGTAAGACATGCAGGAAGTCGATGGATGCAGGTGGCTCCGTGCTTTGTGGCATAACTTGGGGGAGGCCTATGTTCAGCAGTGAAATTGTAAAAGGCTGTAATGATGATTAACACTTAGTTACAATGCTTTTAAAATTACCTTAACGTCGACTAATCCTCTCGGGGCAGTAATAAAGCGACCAGATTTATCCAACGCTCTCTTCACGTCTTCAGAAATCTGAATTTTCATTGCTAAAATTAAAAAATACCTTACACAATTATCAATAAAGTTGAAATAGGAATAACCCCGCCTCGAGCCGGTAAACATTGTATGAAGCGACCCCTGTTATTGTTTTTTGCTTCTGCTATGTAAAATTTAATAAACTTAGAAAATAAGTAAATAAACACGTGCTACAGCTGGGCACAGGCCTGTTGTGTCCTTTCTTGGTCCAGCAAACCTATTGGTTCCAACAGTAGCAGTTCTCCCTATCACGTAAAGAAAATAATATGTTAATATACTATATTCATTCATCACCATCATCATTACAGTTACAGCCCATTAAGCGTCCGCTGCTAAAAGCGTCTTATATAGATGCCTCATAGGGGCATATTTGCCATAGTTGTGCACGCTATACGTATACGCTTTAATTCCTCCCTCTCCTTTCCACCATCGGACAACCAGACGGTTGGCGAATCCTCACCCCTTTGTTGTCGATATTCCACGCATTAGAATCAAAAGGTTTGCTTCGTCTTTTGTAATGCGTACAGCAAAGGATTGGAATAATTTGCCGGCGTCTATCTTTTCGTCTGAATAAAATCTGGGCGTCTTCAAGGCAAGAGTGAATAGGCTTTTGTTACGATAAGACAGTGCGATTTACTATCTACGGCTGCATCACCACTTACCACCAGATGGGATTGTGGGCAAGCACTGGCTTATAATAAGTAAAAAAAACCTCTATGGGATTTTCGTACGCCGCCACTACACAGCACTCATTCTTTTTTTTATAGAATAAGGGTGACAAACGAGCACCCAGTCCACCCGATGGTAAGTGGTTGCTGTGGTCTATAGACTATCTATCTTTCTTCGTTTGCAAATTAAAATGCAGATTCGTTGTCAGCAGTGAGGACTAAGAGAATGCTTCTGTTCCAGTAAAAATGGTCTCCGGTTTTCTACACTCAAAAAAAGCAGCAGCATTAAGCTGCTATTTTAAGCTATTATTCTGTGAGAACGTGGTCCTTTCCCGGTCGAGCCGACCCATTCGTGCTACAACTATACTATTAATATAGCTGCAGCATAGCTCTACCACGTAGACATGGCTCTACCTCATTTTATTCATTCATTCAATGATTCGTTACCATTCCACTTCTGAACATAGGCCTCTCCCATAGCTTGTCACAAAGCACGGTCTTGACTTGAACCATTTGCACCCATTGACGCTTTATTGGTCTAGGGGTCGTCAGCGCTGGCTAAGGCTGCTAATCATGTAGTTCCTTTTCACTCTTGCCTTAAATATACCCACATTATAATGGTGTATTTTTGTGTAGTTTTTTTATTTTATGTCCACTACATACGTTCCCCTGTGCTTTCCATCCTGCTGGCAGTGTTAATGGTGTCTCCAAAGAGGCAGTATCTGGGCATTTTGCTTCCTACTATACCGGCCACACAGGGTCCCGTATGAATACCGCTCCGCATACAAAGTGTCTGAAAGGAGATAAAAATTATGTTACATTTATTGTAACTAATTTTAATAAGTCAAAACATATAAACTAATAAATTAATCGTTTATGTAAGCATTTTCAGATTGATTGGCCTACTTACGTTAGGCCATTTAAAAATTTAGAAAGTCGGTGTAACCAACATACTGAAATAGAGGTACATTTATGCAAAATTCTTAGGATCGTATACGCATAATTCCTATACATAATTTAGACTTCTTACAAGTTCTAGTGACTGTCGAAATCTACCACTGGTTTTAAAATTAAAATCCCTTCCCAGTTTCGGCAAGAATCTTTAAGACATTTTTAAATTCTCAAGAATATTGTATTAAGTTTATTTATAGATTGAATTACCTTTTGAAACAATAACTATTGCTAACGAGGCTTGTTGTTTGATAAATAAATAATATTTTTGAAATATCGCCATCTGTTGGTCGTATGCTAAACTGTGATGTTTAATATTATGTAATAGAAAACTAATGGGTATGGACTATGGCTAAAATATTTTTGCGTAATATGTAACGATAAAACTTATAATATGTCATAGTGTTGGTATTTCACTACGCCATAGATCGATATTCAAAAATATACTTATTATTATTATTAAAAACAAAAATGCATTGATGAAGTAAAACATACACTACAAAATAATTCATGCAAAGCCTTTATTCTTGTAAATTATATGTATGAGCATAAACACAGAGACGATTATTACCTAAGTAGGTACCTGATCAGGCCGATGTGGGAGTCGGCACATAGATGTCGCTTCTAGCAATTCTAGCGCCATACTAGCGATTTCTGTTGCGTGTTTATTGCCTGAAATTTATTGTTATTATTACTTTCTTACCTGTCAATTTATTTTTTTACTCTACGTTCATGTTCTACCTGTTATTGTTAGATTTATACAGATGATCCAAATAGTGACGTCCAAAAGAAAAATTTAAATTTTCCACACCTAGGCGTATTCGAAAATACCCCATGTATATTATCCGAGTATTTGTAGTTTTCGAGTTATAATTTGTTTTGTAGTTTTTTAGTGTTTTCTGCCGGTGGGGCTTCAAAAATTCATGTCTTTTTTTGTAGTAGTTATTTTTCTGATTTTTTCTTTTGACATGATAGCTTTAAATTATACTTTCACACATAAAATAATAAATTTCCTAACATTCCTCCAAATTACTCAAAAAAGCATAGAAATTAAGAATTTTAGTTTTTAATTTTAGTCTCAAACTCAAACTTTCATCCTTAATTTAAAAATACAAAAAGGAGTTTCCATAGATTTTAGCTGACTTTAAAAACTTTGCATAACCCTTAGCTATTTAAAACATTAAAAAAATTGGTACTTAATAGGCAATTATTCGCTGTAATCGGCCTTCGAAGCTAAAAATCCACATAATTTTTTAAGCTTTAAATAAATATTTTGCGATCCCTACGGCATATTTTAGTGAAAAATTCTCGATTCCATTCAAATGTACACAAGTTGTGCGATGAAGATGATAATTTGTAAAAATTTAAAGAAATTAGGTGTAATTTATTCATTAGATCATTTGGGCTTATTTTTGTATGATAACAAAAAATATTGTCCAAAATTAATCATTTTAATTCTTTATTAATGCAATTTTTCAAAATGACGCCCTCCTATTTTAATACAAATATGACAGCGTTTTAAAAAGTTATGTTTTACTGTCTAAAAGAACGGGAATGAGTTTTTTTAATTTTTCTTGCAGCTATTTTCTCCCAATTCTTCTTCATTATCTCTCTCTCTTCCCGCGCGTACACCAGCTCCTTGTAAAACCCTCAAATAAAAGTCGATAGAGTTTAGGTCTGTCGAACGTGCAGGCCATTCAATCGGTTTTGTCGAAAAGTTTCGTCGAGATGCTGTCTTACTTGTCTTGCGTGGTGCCAAGAAGCATCGTCATTTTGAAAAGTCATTTGTTGTCGTACCGCTACGTTCACGTCTTCCAACATTTTAAAAAAGTGATTTTGTAAAAAAAATTAAAAGTCCGTCCATTTAACCTGGACGGTAATTCAAAGGGACCGATAAATTCTTCATTTAGGTTCCCAGATCACAAGTTAACGCTAGTGGTGTAACATCGTAAAAGGGATGTATTATATAAATCAACATCAGCCTTTTAAGTCCAGTACTAGACAAATATTTTTTTACCCGACTGCCAATCTTCAAAAATGTATTTGTTTGTAAATTTCTTTATTACCTCGTATGTTCTAAACGGCTGTCCGACCCAATTGTAAATTGTAAACCGAAAGAAAATTAATGGGTTCCACTTGCTACCAAACTTAATGCGGGTATTTAACTTAGATTTTTAGCTCATAATATAGTCTGTTAAACCGAAGTCGAGTATATATTGTTTATATTTTATTTTAATTTTGTTTTCTATTCTCAATCTTGTTTCGGTATTTTTAGTGCATTACTTTTAAATTGTCTTTTTTGCAGTAAAACCGTTACGTCGGGTTTTAGATTTTTTAATTACTTATTTTATTAAAATTTTAATATGTGTAGTAAAGTAAATATATACATCGATGCACGTACAGACATGACTTAAATTTTCACGTATGAGTACCTACATTCATTCAATCTGTGCCCTTAGCATACATTTTTGGGCTGAGGTGTTTGACGTCCCAATATCTGCAGCTTTGAATATTAGTTTTGGATATTTAAAATCTTACGAGTTTACAGTATCTTGAAGTCTTGCAGTTATGCTTAGGTTGGATTTAATTTATTAATTATGGGATCCTCAGCAGACGTTAGCACCCAGCCATCTTCTTCGTTGAAACTTGGATGTATATTAAGATACATTTCAATTAGGTTCAATAGCCTTGCGAATCCTTGGTGGGAATCTTTGCGAGGATTTGCGGTTTATCAAATCTAATGTAATGACAGAGTCGACCTTGAACATGTTCACAGACTGTATGAACAATATTTTGTCACACAAAGTAATCCGATGGCGATACGAATTGGACACGATAGAAAACTCGTACTCAAGGGGCTGGTTACTGTCTTATAATAACTAAAAATTGTTTATAGTAAAAGGCCTTTTAGTTTATGATATTTACCATTTCTCACGGGAAGTCCCGATGCTACCATATAAGAGTCTCCGATTGTTTCAATTTTGTAGACATCATAGCACTCAATACGTTCATCGAAGAGTTTGTAAACTGAATTGAGGAAGCTGATCACCTGAAAATATTTAAAATCATGATGTTATTATTATCATTTTTAAAATTAAATAGCGCTCTTAATTAAAAAAGCCTCAAGCTCGCTTTTCACTATAGGATATAATATATATTATATCCCGAGATAAAAATTATATCCCGCGATTGGCTTTCACACTGTGAGATATATCTTTTAGCCAGTATGCTTTCGTCATTGGATTACCCCTGTACCCCGCACACCGTTCTGCGGCGGCGCGGAACAGTGTGCGGGGTACAGGGGCGAAATATAATATGAATAGGTATATCGCTCTGTCTATCGAAAAAATATTTATAGTATGAGAAGTAATATATTATAATATATATATATATATATATATATATATATATATATATATATATATATATATATATATATATATATATATATATATATATATCAGTGTAAACGGTTCTATATTATCGATATTAATTTATATTTATAGCTTTTCTCTATGGGATATAATATATTACATTATATCCCATAGAGAAAAGTGGGCTTCAGGCTTAACGATTGTGACTGATTGCCAATTAGCATTCATTGATTGTAAAAAATAGAGGAAACAAATGCATATACGAGTTCGAGTCCGATTGAGATGGAAACCCGTATTTTTAGCGAAATAAAAATTATTTGAGCGCCAAAATTATTTTCATCCGATGTCACGTAAATTATAGCCAATTTAAAATTTCTTTAGTAACAGCATACAATAGCAGCAGAGGTTGTATATCATATCTATTTTTTGTCGATAAAATCCACACTCTATTGAGAACTGAACTAAAATAGCTGAAAAATAGGGAGATAGATTTGAGTTGATTTTTCTGTCAAAGAATGCTATAATGTACTTGAAAAATTACGGCACTTAGAATGATAATGAATTATCCTTGGTATATTTGTTTTCAGTTTTGAACATGATTTTACTTATTAAATTCAATTATACTTTGCGTGACTTTGCTTTGTGCCTTAAAGCATTTAAAGAATATCTTTTTTTATTTATCATAAGCCAGTGCTTGACCACAATCCCATCTGGTGGTAAGTGGCGATGAAGCCCTAAACTATGGTAAATCGCACTGTCTTACCGTAAGAAAAACCTTTTCATTCTTGCCTTGAATAGTACCAGATTGTGTTCGGACGAAAAGATAGACGCCGTGGCAGATTATTCCACTCCTTTGCCGTACGCATTACGAAAGACGAAGTAAACGATCAACTCCAATGCGTGGAATATCGACAATAAAAGGGGTGAATACCCGCTAAATATCATAATAATTAATTTCTTTTGAATGAAATCTAAACAGCCATTGCTTTTAGTAAAATCAATGTACTACACCAGTCAATAATTGATACTGAATAACTTATAATATTGTTATTAAAGGAATTAAAGGAAAATTTCAATTTAAAAAAAGTTATTAAAGGAAATAGAACAAACTGACAAATTAGTGTTTCCTGTCACTTATGAAAATATTGTAAAGTTAGAAAGATGTATCGAGATAAAAGTTTATATAAAACAGAATCAGATAAAGTTTATTATGGGTACTCCACTTATTAGAAATGAAATTTTTAACTATTATAAATTATTTACCTTACGACTGTCATCCGACCTAAAAATCCGTACCTACTTGTGAAAGGGTTGTTTTTTTTTTTAAGTAGATACTGTTCATTAATACATATTATATGTTATAAAGTAGGTAAGTTGACAACTGCTCAGGACATAACATAATGGTGTCGCAAGGGTACATATGTAAAGGTAAATTTGTGGAAGGAATTATAAAATAAAAATCAACCTGGTATGGCGTCGAAACGGCTGCTATTGCTGTAAAGCCCACTATGTCGCTGAAATAAACTGTGACCGAAGCGAAGAATTCAGCAGGCACCTGAAAATTATGATTTGAAGGATTTATTTAACTTCATATACACATTTAATGTACATAGGCGACAGACTTAATACCGAGGCATTATCTAACAGTCTAAATTAGAGTAGTGCAGAGATAAAAGAGGTAGGTGTAATAACAAGTACAGAAATTTAATATTCACATATATTACGTGGTAAAGCCGTGCTGCAGCTATATTAGTAGTATAGTTGTAGCACGAATGAATCGGCTCGACCGGGGAAGGACCACATTCTCACAGAATACCAGCGTAAAATAGCAGCTTACACTGTTGTGTTTCCTATGGTGAGTGTAGAGAACCGGAGACCCTTTTTACTGGAGAAGAGGCATTCCATCTTAGTCCTCACGGGTGACAACGCATCTGCATTTTGATACGCAAACGAGGATAAATGTAGATGTCCATGGGCCACTGCAACCACTTACGATCAGGTGGACTATGTGCTCGTTTGTCACCATATCTTATATAAAAAAATGTATCAGCAAATATTCAGTGTATATATATATATATATATATACACTGAATACATTAAAACATAATGAACATATATACACATAATATCAGATTTAAAATATTATTATTAATATTTTTATTATATAAGTACTTGAATCTTAATTCCAATCAAAATTTCTCCCCAAAAACAGTAAAGTTAAAAGAGAATTATGGGTAAGCTAGAGTTATTAAAATTAGTATGTAAGAATTCGTTTGCTAAAATCTTGAAAACTACCTGATCGATTTTATATAACGTGTAAATATTATTTAACACACATTTGATGAACTGCGTACAATAGATGTTTGCCGTATTATCACACGTGTTTTGTGTCGTAAATTATTATTTTGTCACGTGGGTGTCGTAAGAGGCGACTAAGATATCGCCAGAAAGAACAAAATACACATAATATACGGTCCTTGTACAGTGTATGGTCATTCGTGAGTGAAAGTTTACGGTGAAAAAATTTATTTCAATTATATTTACCAAAAATAACCTTACTTCTTATAATGACACAAACTTTTTTTTTTTGAAACATTAACATTGCGGTAAGTCCTTGTTTGCCCTATGTTGGACAATATACCTATACTTAATAGGAGTGGTACCATTTATTTGTGCCGTCAATTCTCACAGTTGCCTGCGGTTTTCTTTTTATAGAATAAGGGTAATAAACGAGTCAACATACATTATGGTAAGTGTATGTTATGACCCTAGACATCTAAATGTATCCTCGATTAAGAATGCAGATGCGTTGCCACCCCTAAGGACTATAATGGAATACCTCGTTTCCAGTAAAACAATTCTCCAGTTCTGTACTCTCACCATACGAAACACAGCTGCTATTTTACTTAATATATTCTGTGAGAGCGTGGTCCTACTCCGATCGAGCCGACCTATTCGTGCTACAACCATAAAATAGCTACAGCGTGGCTTTACCACTTATAAAACGTGTTTTGCGGTTAGACGGGTAAAAGAGTCCTGTCCTTAAATAGTAAATTAAACATATAATATTATATAATTAACATATATATTTTATTTAACGACACTATATAATTATATTATTTAAGGACAGCCATAAAAATCTTAGGGTTTCCTATAAATAGCGGTCTAACTGTAAACATTATCGCGCGTATAGAGATGCATTACGTGGTAGAGCCATGCTGCAGCTATATTAGTAGTATAGTTGTAGCCGAATGGATTGACTAGACCGGGGAAGGAACACGCTCTCACAGAATACCAGCGTAAAATAGCAACTCAACGCTACTGTGTTTCATATTCTGAGTGTAGAGAACCGGAGACCCATTTTACTGGAAACGAGGCATTCCATGTTAGTCCTCACGGGTGACAACGCATCTGCATTTTGATCCGTAATCAAGGATAGACGTAGATGTCTATGGACCACAGCAACCTCTTACGATCAGGTTGACTATGTGCTCGTTTGTCACCCTTATCCTATAAATTGAAAAAAAAAAAGATTAAATACCTCGACTGGCGACGAGTAGCAGCGTCAATGGTGCGAAATGTGTGGTAATACAATAGTTAATTGTAACGAAACAAATGCAGTCGAAACAGACGCATGTTTAGCAGTTGATTTTTACAGACTGATGAAGATAAAAAAGGATAAATAAGCCGTCAAATGTGTTTAAAAATATTTTTTCCACCTGTTGAGTTTGCTTCAACTGCTTTGCAACACTAGGTGGCAGCATCTGATATAAGAGCGAATCACTGAGTTCCTTTTCGTATTCAAGCTCTCGGGCTTTCTCGGAGAGATTCCTGGCGTAAATCTGAAACATTTCATAGATAAGTTTGAACTAGACGGAAATAGATTAAACAACTTTTTTACTCGACAACGACCAAAATTCCTAAAAAAATCGAATGGGCCCTAAGTTCTTTGAAGTATTTTATGCCTGTTTTTTATGTCCACATGTAACTCTTTAACTAATCGTCGGATATTGAAACACGATAATCAATCATACGATCTGTACGTGATAGAGCCATGCTGCAGCTATACAGTATAGTTGTAGCACGAATGGGTCGGCTCGACCGGGGAAGGACCACGCTCTCACAGAATACCAGCGTCAAACAGCAGCTTAACACTGCTCTGTTTCGTATGGTGAGTGTAGAGAACCGGAGACCCTTTTTACTGGAAAAGAGGCATTCCATCTTAGTCCTCAGGGGTGATAACTCATCTGCATTTTGATTCGCAAACGAGGATAAATGTAGATGTCTATGGGTCACAGCAACCACTTACCATCAGGTGGACTGTGTGCTCGTTTGACACCCTATGCTATAAAAAAATATTTGCGCAGGTTACATTACGTATGATGTATTACTCTAAGATAAAATATAACGCCATCTTAAAATCAACATGGCTGACACGTATGTCACTATCAAAAACTTGGAATATAAAAAATAATATTAAACAATTGTGTACATAACGTATCAAATATAAGATTAAAATGACTATTAAGATTTATAAAGATATTAAAAAAAAAACTATACATAAATATTATAATCGTTAGTGTGTCTGTTCGTGATCTAATAACTTCTTAATGACTTTATAGATTGCGGTCAGATGCTCAGATGAATACAATATATTTGTTTTGTCGAGACGATTGTTCATAGCTATGATAGGTGACGCTGTAGTCAAGCTATTAACAAATTGTGTATTTATCCGGTGGTAAACTATTTCAAAGAGGTCGTACGCGGAAGAAAACTCCAAGTGAAACGTAAAGTGGCGGACCGCCAAACATCCAGATGGTATGGATGGTATCGGGAATTTTGTCGCGATGTGCGCTCGTGGAGTTTGACGGCTGGAGTCTATCCGAACAATTCCTCAGTTTGTTGTATCAATCATGCGGGCCGGCTAGTGTTAATCTACTCGTATATACCTAATTTGTAAATGAAATTTTACAGGTTATATTCGTAGTAGTAAATCAATTTAGTCCGTTGCTTTGTTTTTAATAGTTTACTTGTAAACGAAGAACAATATTAAACTCTCTGGTCACTCTCTTTATAAAAAATCTTGAAATATTGAATTTCAATGGCGGAAGGAAAAAGCATTTTGAAAACGTAATAAACTTAAATTGTTATCCTTTACGCAATAAGCGAGAACTCTAGCAATTTGTAATTTAATACTATTTCCTTAGAAGCAGTATCTGCTGGCTTGTACACCCTTCTAGTATTCGTAACTCTTTAAAACCTTCAAAACTTCTTACGTATTTACAGAAGTTCACTTAATGAAAACAATAACGTACAAGGATATTACTTTTCATTTATATATGAAATGGTATGCTACTGATATGTTACTTATGTTTAGGCTGGTTTAGCGTAATGACTTAGCTTAAGTTTTGTTAAGCTAAGTAAGTGCGCTTTACAATCTTAAGCTGCATCACCAGTAATCATCAGGTGGGTTAGTAGTAAAGTACTGGCTCATCCATCCATAAAAGTCCACTGCAGAACAAAGGCCTCCCTCATAGATTGCCTCATGGGGGATTTGCTATAGTTGTCATGCTTGGCAAGCGGGTCGGCAACCGCAGTTTTATATTATTTTGCGCTGTTATCAGGAAGATGCTGCTGCCCATCTAATGTTCTTTTTCCCTCCGTCGCTTCTTGCGACAACCTCGGGACTATACGTGGTAGTGGATATTATTTCACCCGCCACTACACGGTTGGCTTATAACAGTTTAACAAGCGCGAAACTAAGAATAGCATTTATTCATTTTAGTGAGTTCAGTTTCCTAGCAATGCTTAGTGGCGAGGTTTGATAAAACCATTTAGAAGCCCCTAGGCAATGCAAGTGTCGGGCCCCTCCACCTTTCTCAAGTTTCCTATGGCACGTAAATGTTTTTGATGATAGCGAGGCCCTTAATAGAAACTGGGCACAAAGACAGATGCCAATTTTGCCTTAGTGGAGGCATACACACACACACACACACACACACACACACACACACACACACACACACACACACACACACACACACACACAGAGAGAGAGAGAGAGAGAGAGAGAGAGAGAGAGAAACACACACACACACACACACACACACACACAAACACACACACAATCGCACGCACGCGCGCATACACACACACACACACACACACACACACTTAACAACTATCCTTACAGGCTAAACAAACCCCCTACGACCTACGATAATGTCGCTAATCTACTTAAATATACTATGTAACAACTAGCTTACATAACTAATTATGTGTAAAAGTACCTCAGCGAGTTCACTCAGATTACTCGAAAATATATCAAATCACTCGAGAACTTTATTTACTACGAGGATTGTTCAGACTAGATGCGGATAAGACTAGAAAAACCTCATGACCTCAAATAGACCGTCTCTTATAAACCAGATCTTACATAGTCTGAGTATTATCACGGGAATGGAGAGCAGTGTAAAAGCGCGAGACATTTCCGGTCTCTGCTAGATTTTCCAATTTTCAGCCGACTTCAAAGAAGGAGAGGCTCAATTGGTGTGTTTTGTTTGTATTATATACGAAAAAACATACAGTCTTAGAAAAATATAAGTAGTTTAAATTAATAAAATAAATAGATGCAAAATTTATTATTTATTAATATATTGTGATTAATTTTCTGAGCATGATTCTTTAATAATTTAGATACTTATTATTACTTACTATTTCATTAAATTGTAATAATAGTTTCCGCGTAATGGTACTATTATATAGTAATTATTTGGACGTATTCAAGTTTTCTTTTTAATATAAAAGCCGTCTTTGTTTGCAGCTAGTAGCAACTTAGGCGGATTGTAAGTTCATTTGTAACTTCAGTTTAAAAATACACACCTGTATGGTATTAACGGCGTTCCGCACTAGAGCGATGATTATTGGTGATACCACGCATACCAACACAAGTATACCAGCGCATACTGCTTCACTTCGCCTGGCTTCAGTGAGGCTGTGGTTCACACCTTCCCTAAAAGCAACAAAATTCGAAACATTCAACTTTAAGTGCGCACATAATTTTGTGTCCTATAACATTGCGTTAGAGCTAGCAATCGGTTCTTCGAGTAGTATGGGTGGCAGACTCGTACTGATAGGCCAAGTATAGAATGTGGCCCTATTAGATCGAAAGACGACCTGGTACGATATGCAGGAAGTCGATAGATCCAGTTGGCTCAGGACCGTGCTTGTGGAATTCCTTGGGGGAGGCAGTGGACTTGCGAGGGGTTACAATAATGACAATGTTTATTTACTGAAAGGTTTCACCACTCAGTGGCTCGTCGTTCGTCGTAGGTTTTCTTTAACAATTAACTGCTTCATTGGTGTAGTGATAGTAAACGGGACTACTTATCAATTTCAATTTTTGAATTTTTGAATTTTTGAAACGCTTCCTAACAGCCTAGAGTCAGGAAGTTTGCAGTGTTTTACCCCAGTGTCTCGGAAAGCATTTAGCGCTATTTCCCGGTCCCGCAGCTGATCTTTCTTTGGCCCATCGAATCATAAGACTGAGGGAATTAATAGTGCAAATGTCCAAATCACTATACTCAGTTGTGACTGACCACCGTGACCGTGGTTTGGAGTACATTACTTTAACAATATTTGTAACTAGCTGATGCCCGTGACTTCGTCCGCATTGCTTGATATGTTAAGAAAACACACATCACATAAGGTGAAAGCGCCAGTGTGGCCCGCGAAATTCAAATTTTCTTACGTTTTTTGGAATTTGCAGGTCAGGCTAAGGTTGTATGTTTAACAAAATATGATTCGCGACCGTTACGAGTATGTGTTTACAAAATTATTATCATTAAAATCACCAATACAACCCTCATCATAGTGTTCATATGATCCCTTTGATTGAGTTTTTTTGGAAATAGCCATACAATGGGATTATACGAACTTAGAGGGTTGTATTGGCGATTATAATGATTATAATTCTGTAAACACATACTCATTACGGCTGCGAATCATATTTTGTAAAACATATCACCTAACACTGTGTTGCAAATTTCAAAAAACGTAAGAAAATTTGAATTTAGCGGGCTACCCTGTTGCTTTCACCTTAACACGTAGTTCTTATAAACATAGTTGTTTTGGCCAAGTGTCTAAGAAATAAAACTTAGAAAACCTCATTGAAATCTATCCAGTAGTTTTTCCGTGATGCACGCACAACTGCAAACATATATCATTTTATTTATATAGATTACTTAATTTGCAGATAATAGATCAAGAAAGCAAAGCTTAAGATGTCATTAACCACACTACTTCCTGTCGATTTTATTCCACAAGAAATAAAAGTCTGATTGAAATATATTGTCAGGATTTACCTACTGTAGTCGAGGAGCGCCTTTGAAACTGCGATCACGTATTTAATTAAATCGGAACTGTTTGCTTTGATTCAACTAATAGTTAAAATTGCACCAATAAGTTGTGTATCGGAAAAGGGGTAATACTAAGCCTGCTCATGTTTATATAATAATGAATAGGAAAATATCGAAAACAGATAAAAAAGGTATTTTTATCTGTTGTTTATTCGAGTGGCTTAATCGTCAGAAAACACGATTGTACAGGGTTATTTTGCAATAACCGGTCAAATTTGCGGAGAAGGTTCAGAATAAGTAATATAGGCAAATGGTGAAGAAAAATTAATTAAAAAAATCTCAAACATTATGTCCTTTTTATCTTTTAAATTCAAAATGCGTGGTAATACGTTAACATTCCCACATTCGTAAGGGTCGATCGGTAGGCAAAAACGTTGTTGCTCATAAATCACATTCAATTTGAGATCATTTCAAATAAATGTATGCCTTATTTACTCGTATGTTCAAATACTGCAATAACGGTATATCATTATTTATATATTTGAACTTAAGTTTAAAATTTGGCTATTCTTTGAAAATTAACCCTGTATTTTTTCGGATTCTGGATTCGTTTCTAAATGCTGTAAATTAGAAGCCTTATTTACACGTATTTTCAAGAACGGCAATAATGGTATATCATTATTTATATATTTGATCTTAAGTTTAAAATCAAACCCTGTATTTTTTCGGATTCTGGATTCGATTCTAGATGCTGTAATATCTTGTTAGTATATCTGAATCAGAATATATACTACACACCATTCGTATTATATAAAATTCTTATTGGATTATGTAATCTCAGTTAAGAATAATTTCATATATACCTGATGTATTGCCGAAGCTGCTTTTGAACAGCTCTAAGTTTATCCAGTAGGGTCGCCGTTTGATCAAAGTACTCTATTGCATCACTAACGCTGCCGTCTTGTGGTTTATTGTCCACGATTTGCTGGTTCCTGTTGAACAGAAAAACACACCACTACTGGACTTTGTCCTTTTCCATAGCTACAATAAATAATATTATTATGTTTGTAATTTTAACTATTGTCTTAACACATATTGCCGTAGCAGCTCAGATTGTTAGCGCTCGCAGTAAATTTACAGTACGCGACCAATTCAATCCCCGCCGGCACCAATGAAATTGTTAATTGCAATTTTAAGTGCTGAAACCTGCATGTCTGAGAAGTAAGAAATAAATATTTCGAAGACATATGAAGTCCGCCAACATGCATTGGGGCAGCGCAGTGGACACTTACCTTGCCCTAACACACTCTCAGAAATGAAAAGACGCCTGTGACCAAGCCTTGGGACATATACAGGTTGTCCCGGAACTCAACGTCAAGCCGAAAAGGGGCGACAGGATTGACTGTAACCATCATGAGAAAAATCAGAAAAAAATCTATCCCATCCAGGTTGAAAATTATTGGTATTTAAGAAAGACCTAGGAATTTGGTCAAACTGTAACCATTTTTCGGTTATTGTGGTTAATTTTTATTATTGTTGTTCATTTAAACTTTGAAACAGTAGCCCTAAATAACATTTCTAGAACCACAGTCAAAAATAATGACACAACTGCCCCAAGTTTTCTAGAATTAAGACTATTTTTGTTAAACTTTGAATCTAAAATTTTCAAAATTTGTCGACTTTGAAAGGCCCTCCTTTAAATATATGTACTAATGTGTCTTAGCAAGTACCATAAAAAGTTTGCGCATTTAATCAGGATTGTAAAATGGTACAATACTTGTTAGTTTCATACTTAAAAACAAGTAAAAAAATAAAAACCTCGAGTAACCTGATTTTTGCTAACCTATTTTACTCAGTTCAAATGTTTTTTTATTCGCACAAGCTCTTGGTAGGTTCTTAATTCTACGGCAAAATTATGAGAGAGGTGGATAGTGGACATGTTTGCCATGAGCGACCGAGACACGCAGTGAGACGGAGATGCATCTGACACCAGTTAGTACGTTTTGCTCATTCGTCTACTTTCCGTACTTTCCGTATTCGCTTGTATTGATTTAGTACTGACAACTTTGGCTTCTCTTTTTGAACTTAGATTTTTATTGATTATTTTATTGATATTTTTATATAGATTTGAATTGGACTTGTTGATTACATACCGGCAACTTTGGCCGCTCTCTCTTGGAATTGGACTTTTGTGTTGGCATCCTTGTTATCTACCATGCCTACGCGCTACACTTTACAGGAATATGCGAACATGAACTTCATTTATGGGGCATGCAGATGCAACGCAAGTGCCGCCACTAGACTTTATCGTGAAAGATATCCAAATTTAGAGCGCTATCCGGATCACCGCGTTTGTTAATGTGCACCGTTCACTCACGGAGGGCGGCGATTTCCCGAATCAAATATGGGCTGGAGGTAGAGCTCGCTTTCCTTACGAGAAAGAAGTGTTGCAAGAGGTCGCAGATGACCCAGGTATTTCCGTTCGTGGAATTGAAGAAAGAACGAGAATACCCAAAAGCAGATCATATCGTATTTTACAAAGAGCCAAAATGCATCCGTTTAACGTACAGCGAGTTCAAAGTCTTTTTCCTCGAGATTATCCTGAAAGGATTTCATTTTGTAGAACAATGCTACAGAGGCATAATGAAAATCCCCAAATCATTCAAAAAATTCTCTGGTCAGATGAATCTACATTTAAAAAGATGGTTAGGTAAACTTACACAATTTTCACGAGTGGCATGTGGCGAATCCACATTTAATGCGAGAAGACAGATCCCAGTATCGCTTTAAAGTAAACCTGTGGACCGGAATTTTAAACAGCAAAATTGTTGGGTCTTTTGAGCTGCCTGAGAACTTGAATGGCACGAATTACCTACATTTTTTACGAGAAAATTTACCAACTTTGTTAGAGGACGTACCACTAACAGATCGTCGCCACATGTGGTATCAACAAGATGGCTGCCAAGCGCATTACGCAGTGTAAGTAAGAGATTTCCTTGACCAGGAATATCTGGGAAGGTGGATTGGACGTTCATGCACTATCTCGTGGCCAGCCCGTTCCCCAGATTTAAATCCCCTGGATTTTTTTTTATTGGGCCGTTCTCAAAGAAAAAGTTTATTCAAACCCCATTGACAGCGGAGCCGAACTGCGTGAACGAATTTTTCAAGATGCTGAGGACATCAACTCTCGAGGATATGCCCGGCTAATAACTAGATCTTTTTTAATAAGATGTAGGGCGTGTATTGAAGCTGATGGAAAACAATTTGAACATTTATTGTAATAAAAAATGTTATTTCCCTCTCTGACTTTTATTCCAATAAACCTAAACTAAACTAGGTCAAGATTTTTCATTATTTTATTAATTTTACTTACTTTTGTTGACTTTGGTAAAAGTGGCATCACTATCTGTCTCTGTCACTCATGGAAATAATGTCCATAAAAAACATTTGAACTTAGTAAAATGGGTTAGCAAAAATCGGGTTACTCGAGGTTATTATTTTTTTACTAGTTTTTTTTTTTAGTATAAAACTAACAAATATTGTACCATTTTACAATCTTGATTAAATGCGCGAACTTTTAATGACATTTGCCACGACACTTTAGTACATTTATTTAAACGACCTGAACAAAATATGAAACGACCACCAATGATTGAGACGTCAAAAAATAGTGCCTTTGGTGTATATTAAATTACGGAGTTCAACTTATTTTATTGGAGCCGGTAAAATAATTTAGCTTTTATATAAAAACATCATTTCTTTACTACTTCTTATAAGTTTTGGACGCATCTAAACCCATCCTGTTTTTATCTGTGGTACACGTTTCATCATAACACTAAAGTAACAACACCATTATGCGTTTATTTTTTTTTTAATACTAGATTGTAATGTAGATTTTTATTTATTTTTGTAGTGTATTATCAATAACATCATTTTTAGATGGGGATATGGATGAACTATTCCGAAATGAGTTTCAAATGATAGGTTGACAGTAAATATAGAATTCTCTAATACTTAGAACGGAACATAACATGAGTGACTCTATGTAAGTAGTCTGTGGTATTATGATACGAGAGCTGTCAAAACGTGAGCAAAAAGCACCTGCGTCTTAGATACTAAGCAGTGAAAAAATTAGAAAGGCTATTAATTAATTTGTATGGTTTTAGCCATTGACTTATATAGTTAAGTATATTATTGCATAGTTTTCATATCAATTGTTTTAGCTGAGGTTGTAGTCATGCCTGCAGACTTATATATTACATCATAACCTCAAAGTGACGAAATACATAAGTGTAACGTTCTATGAGCCTCTGCTTTTAAATATTATATTTTCAATTTAGGATTGATATTGTGCCCAGGAGGAACGGATTAATCCATACACTAGTCATGTTCGCGATATTTCATAGCCAGGTCACAGCATGTATGGGCCGAGACCGATGTTCTTTTGAAAATTTTAAATTCATTGTTTATCATATAGTCTTAATTCTAGAAAACTTGGGGCAGTTGTGTTATTATTTTTGACTGTGGTTCTAGAAATGTTATTTAGGGTTACGGTTCCAAAGTTTAAATGAACAAAAATAATAAAAATTAACCACAATAACCGAAAAATGGTTACAGTTTGACCAAATTACTAGGTTTTTCTTAAATACCCATAATTTCCAAACTGCATGGGATAGATTTTTTTTCTGATTTTTCTCATGATGGTTACAATCAATCCTATCACCCCGTTTTAGCTTGACGTTGAGTTCTGGGACATCCTGTATAGGCTGTAATTTAACTTTTTAACACATATTACTGGCAAGCAATTATTGGTCATAAAATTTTTGTGAATCACTCAAAAGAGGGGTTCAAAAAAGTTAGCACTTAAGAAATTATACTACACTATATATACTACACTAGCTGTGCCCCGTGATTTCACCCGCGTTTAATATTAAGCGACCCCACATCCCCACCCCCTCCCCCTACTGGTGGAGTTTTCGTAATACTCTTTCAGTATACAATGTAAAATAGCAGCTCAATGCTGCCGTCTTTTCATTTCGATCTTAGTAATCATCATTAGTTGTGACCTACTGTAGTATACAGCATTTTAGTGGTGGGGATATGCGATCGTCTAGTTACAGTAGATAAGCGGTGGGGACGGAGGACAGTCAACTGTGAACGGCCGTGGCGTGCGGACGTATTCGGTGTGCCTTTAACTAACGGAGTGATAAAGTGTACCTATACTTAGTGTGAGTGTTTCGAGCATTCTACAAGTGGCGACGAGGATAAACGTAAGTAGAAAATTCATATCTTGTTAAAAGGGAAAGATAGCTTATGAAAGTGTGGAAATACTTAAAAAAAATGTTAGAACATACCCTACAAATTTTAATGCAACAGTATGACTATTTTGAAATAGAAAACCTTTGAGCATTGTATATAAGTTATGTTGATATTTTAGTTGTTATAAACCAGAACTTATTGGTCGGTTATTGACACTATTTCATGATACATTCATTTAATATCGTACTACACCAGTAAGTTAGCGAAATAAAGTAAGCTTATTTTTGCTTTCAAAAAACAAGAGCCTGAATTTGGTATTCTAATTACTCGTGTAGTTTGAATACTTAATACAAAAGGTATATAATACGTGCTAATTATAACGAGTTTTCTAATAAATATAAGTTGACTCGATCGATTGGAAAAGGAAAATATTATCAGGTGGTGTTTTAAATACCACGTAATTGTGATTTAGAAGATAGGCTTCGACAATAGGTTGTTCGATAGTACTAAGTAAAGGGTCAATATGAGAGACCGTACTTAGTTAAAGGGTCAATATGAGAGACCGTACTTAGTTGGAGGGTCAATATGAGAGACCGTACTTAGTTAAAGGGTCAATATGAGAGACCGTACTTAGTTAAAGGGTCAATATGAGAGACCGTACTTAGTTAAAGGGTCAATATGAGAGACCATACTTAGTTAAAGGTCAATATGAGAGACCGTACTTAGTTAAAGG